GACATGCACACACGGGGTGGGGGCGGGTGATTTCTCGCTTTTTGTGTCTATGTCTCTCTCTGTCTGTCTGGCGAGGGCACACGCCCTATAGCGAAAACCTCTCAAAAAAACAAAAAACAAACAAAAAAAAAAACAGCAGGATATATCTTATAGGATATTTACTAATGGTTTAGTTAAAATGCCCAGTCTTACCTTTAGAAGACTCTTTCAGAATCAGACTTCTCCTGATACTAAGTTTGAATTGACATCCTATTCATTGTTTTTGCTAATTACAGGCCTTTATTTTCAGTAACAGCTACTTTTCAAAGTATTATATATCTAAGGCTATAATAGGGAATGCTCAAATTCTGGGTCACTTACTGTGACAATATATGAATTCAACCCTAATAATACTAAAACATGAAGGGATATGGCACATTTCAAGAAGAAACAGCAAAGTGGGTTGAACTAATAAAATCTCCATTTATGAAACGGATAAAAGAGGAAAATGCTGAAATGAATGACTGCTTTTTTATTTGCTCAAGTAGAATTTAATTTGAAATCCACCCCTTCTGCCAATTCACTTAATTTAAAATCCACTAGACCAAAATACATAGAATGAATTTAAAACAAAATCGTACTTTCAAAAAAAAAAAATCGTACTTTCATCCTGTAAATAGAGACTTATTAGAGCGTTGTCATCATGGCCTCCAAAATTGTCCCAGCCACAGCGGAGCAAGTGGTAGAGTGCTGCCGTGCGAATCTGGAGACATACGAGAAGGCCCACCGTTCAGATCCCTGGTCAGCCTGAACATGCTGTGGGTGCCTATGGGTGTACCCATGATCCTGGCTGGCTGGAAGGCTGGGAATAGACCACAGCTGACAAGCCCACGTCAGTTCTCTCTCTTTCTCTTTCTCTCTCTCTCTCATGAGATAAACGAAACTTAAAAAAAAAAGTCTCAGCTGAGCAAAGTCATGTACACCTATATTCTCAACTACTTGGGAGACTGAGGTAGAGGATGGTGACATATCAAGACTGTCTAAATAAATAAATAAACACAATTTTAAAATTGTCCCAATAGTTTATAGTTTTGTTGTTTAGATTGTTATTGTTCCTTATGCACTTATCTTGAATGTATTATAATTTTTTTCTTTTTCTTTTTTTTTTTTTTTTTTTTGAGAGGGAGATTTATGCTATAGGGTTCGTGTACTCACCAGAGAAAGTGAGAAATTTCCCCCTGGGGGGGATGGCCATTCCACAATCCCTTCCCCTCCATTCTCCTCTCGGGATTTTGGACATGCACGCACCCAGTGTGAGATTCAAATCGCCAGGTCTGGGACTCAAACTGTGGTCGGCCACGTGGGAGTCCAGTGCCTTAACCACTACACCACCCACTGGTCCCTACAATTTCTTTTAAAATAAAGACTTTGAAGGGCAAACTTATATTCTCATAAGTCCCTGTCTGTTATTGTGGTAGGCAGAATTCTGATTATGGCCTCCAAGATCCTGCTTTCCTCGTATACTAACCTCTGTGATCCCTTTCCCTGAAGTAGAAGCAGGACCTGTAATTACGTTAGACTCTCACTCTTGTGATGTTGTTGTCTTAGATGGAAATGGTGAAGGTATTGTGTAAACATAATAAAGGCCCCTAATTAGTTGAGTCTTGAGTTAATTGAAAGCAGATTATCCTGGGCAGACCTGACCTAATCAGGTGAACTCTAACAGAGAGCCAAGGTCTTCCCTGAACTCAGAGATATTCTCTTGTCATGAAACAAGCCCCCGTGAGTTCTCTAGCCATAAGGAAATTAGTTCCACCAACAACCACTCATATGAGCTTAGAAGAGAACACCAAGCTTTAGATGAGACTGAAGTCCCACATGATACCCTGATTAAAGCCTAATGAGACCCTGAGCATAGGATCTAGTTAAGCTATCCCCAAATTCCTGATTCACAGATGCTGTAAAATAATGTTTATTGTTTTGAGCCACTACGTTTGTGGTGATTTGTCACACAGCAATGGAAGACTTGTACCATTATATTAGATATTTGCTGTACTCGTTAATACTATGGGTAACGTAACTTGACCCTATGCATATCAAAATTGACTGAGAAATTTGAATAACAACCAGATTCTACTATAGCAATTTAATATATATATATATATATATATATATATATATATCAAAGGACATGAAAGCAATTAGTCATATCAGGAAACAAGACTTGATAAAGTAGGACTGATGTGGTCAAACCAAGTCAAAACAGGGAAATCAAAAGCAACATTTTACAAGAAAAGTAAGGGTGATATTTTTCCAATTTGGTTAGAGAAAGGTAGAGGCCAAAAGAAGAGGGAAAAAAGAGTAAGATTTAGCATTCATTTCAGTGTGGGAGACGAGAGAGACATAGCAGAAATAGTGTTGAATCTCGTCTTAGAGATTGGAGAAGTGGCAGTAATGCCAACTGTCTAAAGAAGTATGCAGAGTAAATCACAGAGTGTGCTTTCTTTGCTGTAAAGCAAGGTTTTGGTTTTGTTGGTGTGTTTATTTGGGGACACATTCAAACCAAAGCAGCAGGGTCAGGAAACTATGGCCTGTAGGTCAAATCCAGATCTCAGCTTGTTTTTGTAAATAAAGCTTTATTGGAATGCAGCTATGCCTATTCATTAACGTACTGTCAGTGGCTGCTTACATGCTCCACTGGCAGAGTTGGGTAGTTACAGCAGAGACTGTGTAGTCTCTGAAAAGACAAAATTTTTTACTATATGGCCCCTACACACCCTGCTCCAAAGCATGATGTGACACACAGCCCCGTCAGCACATAACAGATTAAGAAATATTGATAACTCTTAATTTTTAATAAAATTTATTTTTTAAAGTCTCTAATAAATAGGCTGTAAAAATATGCTAAAGGCTCTTTTTTTTCTTTTTTAAGAGAGACTTTTGCTATAGGGCATGTGCACTCACCAGAGAGACAGAAAGTGAGAAATCACCCCCCAGGGGGATGGTCATGCCGCAATCTCTTCTCCTTCATTCTCCTCTTGGGATCTTGGGCATGCATACACACGTGCCTGCCATGAGTTTAAACCGTGTGATCTGGGACTCAAACCACGGTCAACTATGTGTGAGTCCAGCAACATAACCATTACACCATCTGCTGGTCCCACTAAAGGCTCTTATTCCTCCTCCTGGCTTGAGTGATTTAGAGTCTATGGCCCTCATCCCTCTTCTACCTTCTAATTGGTAAATTTAAATAATCAATGAAAGTAGAAAAATTAAGATTTTTGCTAGAACATTACCTAAAGATGTAACTCATAGTCTATAAATACAAATTAAAGTCAGTGAGCCGGTCAGTGGCATGGTGGTTAAGACAGCTGGATCCCACATGGCCAATGACATACAAGTCCCAGACCTGGTGGCCTGAAAAACATACCAGGCACGTGTGCATGTGTACCCATAATTCCTAAAGGAGGGAGACGTGGAGAAGGGACTGCAGCATGACCATGCCCTCCCCCAAACCCCACCCAGGAGGTGTTTCCTTACATTTCTTTTCTCTCTTTCTCTGGTGAGCACACACAACCTCTAACAAAGTTTAAAAATTTTTAAATTAAAAAAGAAGTAAAGCAAGGGGCCAGATAATGGCACAGCAATAAGACATGATGCTCTGGGAGGCAGGTCCACACAGGAGGGTTGCCAGTTCACATCTGGAGACCTCTCAGAGTATGCCATGCATACATGTGCCCATGACCCTGGCTGGCTAAAGCTAATATTGGATCATGGCATCAAGACCCTGGTGGGAGTGCTCTCTCTCTCTCTCTGTCTCTCAGTCATGGAATAAATAAACTACAAAAATCAAGCAGATAAATACGCAGAACTGCAAACGCATTCTTTCTGTAGCAAAGACTACTGTTGCCCCCACTATACATTCTTCTGTTCTTATAACACATGTCCTCACCACCGTCCAAAGCTTAGCAAGGCACACAGCGGCCTGGCTACAGACACATTCTCCAGCCTCTCTCGCGGTTAAGTAGGGCTGTGTGTCTAAAGTTCTCACCAATAGAATGTGAGCAGAAGTGTTTTATGACTCGCCTACAAAGGCCATTTGTTTACCCTCTGCTTCTCTTTCTGCTTCCCACAGGGTGTGATAAAGGCATGAAGGTCAGCAAGCTTCAACCACGAGGACAAAGAGTGTGGGGCTGAAGATGGCAGACTAATCAAAGGCAAGAAACCCAAGTCCCCAGAGAACCTTGTGGAGGAAGGTTTGCCTATCGACTCTGGATCATCAGGTGAGAAATACACATTCCTATCTTCTCGGGGTCACATATTTTAGAGTACCTTAATTAAACAACTCACTCTATTGCACAATAAACCCACCAAGATCACACCACTGTAGAGTAAGTGAGGACTATCTTCGTGATGTAATTTTCCTGTTGTGTAGATATAAGGATTCTATGGAAAATTCCGACCAAGACCCCCTGGCTTTTAGTGTACCGTGAATCATTTAGTCTTTTTTCAAGTTCACTAACCTAGGACAAAAGATAAAATTGTGCTAAGGAAATCTTTGTACCCTTAATAATCCAGTGAGACAGAGAGAACAAAGCATGTGCCAATTAATCTGTTCATCGCAGAAGGAAGTGGGGAGACCAAAAAAGAGTTCAATATATTTACAAGCAGGTTGAACAGAGAAGTTAGAGAGTTATGAGTTTCGGAAGACAAAACAAGAATAGTTAATGAGATGCAACTTCAAGATCTCAATATCCTTTAGAAGACCTTACTTCTTAGCTGCCAATGTGTTCAGGCGTGATGACTCGGTTTCTGTTTCTCTGAACATCAGTCCTAGGGTCTGTATAATTTCAATGCATGCCCTAGAAAACAGAGAGAACAAAAGCATGGACATGAAATGATTTGTTCAGGAGTTCAGAATTCCACAAAAGTAGTAAGCCTTGATAGCATTTCTTTCAGATATTCATATAGAAAAAAATAACAAACTACAGGAAAGAAAGGCTATCCCTGAAACTGTCAGCATTGGCGGATGGCCTCCTTTGTGATCACAACCATTTGTTCATTGAATGAATTAACAGCTGAATGTTGCAACCAAGTCACTCTCATATTCTTTTTTTGTATGAATATTTTCCCATTTTTAGGATAGTCGTACACTACTTATTCTAAATTGTTTTAACAATTTCAATTTTTCCAAACAGGTAATATTTGCCTCGAAATGTCCAAGGTAGAAAAGGGAATCCAGTGAAAGCTATCTCTCCTCCAGACACCCATCACCCCCTGTTTGCAGTAACCAGTATCGCTATGGGGTCACTAGAAAAGTCATGAAGCATTTTTCCACAGAAAAACTTTTCCAGTGACCCAATAGTTTCTTGTATATCCTTCTATCAAAATTAGAACAAAATGAATGTTCTTTTTAAAAATCATGTAAAGTAAAACTTGCAGCACCATTTATTATTAACACAGCAGATAATATTTTTTGTCCAGTGCCTTCTGTTTATCTTTAACATCCCAGGGGAAACATCTATGATTATCTAGTTAGTACTTACACCAACTCATCAGCCCTTTGGCGTTTATTTTGAAGTGCATTCTTGTCGCTAGACTCCGGCAAATACTCATGAAGTTTGTTCACTAGGAAATAGAAAAGGTCACTGGTCTGTGAAGGCAAGAGGATAATGAAGGTGTCAGCTGTTAACGCTCTATTCTTATATAATGAGAGTATGAAGAAATTGTGTGTTCTTTGATTAGATGAGAAACGAACTATAATATCTCTCATTATTACCAGCATAGCCCAAGTTGAAACATCCTTTTACTTACAACCAGGAGCCCACTGTCCTGGTTGACAGAGCCAGAGCAAGTGACTGATGCTGGGAGATGCCACTGAGGCCTGGAGGGACCATTAATACTGACATCATCAGAAGTAGGTGTATCATTGCAGGAAGTCATTCAGTCACCTTGGAAAGAGGAGCTAGAATTCCTGCCTTTCCAAAGTAATTTGACCTTTATAGAATAAAATAAAAGAGTGGGTAGGAAAGTTCTCATTTGAAATGTTTACTTACACAAAAGCAAATGTACAGCGCTAGCATAGCCTATGAAAATGGTGTTGAACAATAGTAACACTTCTGGTAATGCACTAGAAATGCAGAAGGCCCTTTCTCTCTAAAGAAACCCTAACTGTGAGCTTTGAGGCCCACTTTTGTATGCTCCTATCCAGTTTCATGAGATAAATCGAGCATGAACACAAGCATTGGTTTATGAAAGCAGGCAAGCTGGTACTAATGAGAAATGTAATGCAATTGCTTATCATTTCTGTTCTGTGCTCATTTTCTTCCCAGAACGTTTGTTTACTAGCGATAATTTAGACTCTTTGTTTAAGCAAGTATATGTGTGCCTTTATTTTGGTGATACGGCATGGAACTGGCTGGGATTGGTGATGGAGAAAGAGAAAAGAGGAAGTACAGGATTTTACCAGAGACTCTCGAAATGGCTTGGGCTTACCCAGAGCTTGATAAATTAACATGGCACAGCAGTTTTATACACCAACTTGGGAGTCAGAGTTTGAGTTCAAAGCCCACCTCGGCCACTGATTAGCTGTATGACATGTGGCATATTATTCATATTGCCTGAGACTCCGTTTCTTTAGCTCCAAATTGAAGTTAATAATATTGCCTCATGAAGTTACTATTAGGGCTACATACGATAGTATTGGTAAAGCTTGACCAGTGCTTTGCATATCCTAAATGCTTAGTAAATATCAGTTATTAGTATCTCCCACCTGCTCGATAGTTCAAGACTTTTCACTCACAAGATGTCATCCGCCTACTTGCAACAACATGGAAGAATCTCAAAAATATATTGCCAAAAGAAGTCAGACACCAAAGAGTAAAGAGTACACATTTCCCTGTAAGTGGAAAACTAAGACAGGCAAAACTGCTTGATTCAGGGAGTAGAAATATACATTTGTAAGACTCTTCATACTGTACCCTTAAATATGGGTGCATTTTATTATATGTAAGTTATGCCTCAGTAATTTTCTGCAAAGATATATAAATGTATGTGAAAAAAAAGAAGAAGATATACAAATGACCAATAAGCACATGAAAAGATGCTCAACATCACTAACCTTTAGGGAAATCAAAACTACAGTGGCATAGCACCTCATACCCCTTAGGATAGCTACAGTAAATAACAGGTGTTAGAAAGGATGTGGAGGAACTGGAACCCTTGTACCCTGTTGATGGGACTATAAATGGCACTGCTGCTGTGGAAAATGGTGTGACAGATCCTCAAAAAAGTGAAAATAGAGTTACCGGGTCATCCCCATAGCCTAGTGGTTAAAGGAATTAGATCCCGCATAGCTGACTACAGTTCAAATACTGGCTCTGATGGCTTCAAAATGGAGGCTCAATGGAATGGAGAATGGAGAAGATTGTGGCATGACCATGCCCCATTGCAAGGTGCTCCCTCCCTCTATCTGCCTGTGTCTGTCTCTGGCAAGTGTATGCACCTTTTGACAACTCAGAAAAAGAAAACTATCTCACGGAGGGCCAGCCTATAGGTGAGCAGATAACGGAGCCAGATCTCATATGGCCAACCATATTTCAAATCCCCGCACCATCAGCCTGAAAAATATACCAGGCATGTATGTGTGTATGCCTAAAACTCTGACAGAAAGGAGAGAATGAATGAAGAGAAATGAAGAGGAAAAGATTGAGGTGTGGTCATTGGAAGGTGCTTTTTTTTTCTCTCTCTGATGAGCCCATGTATCCACTGGCAATAATCAGAAAAATGAAAACAAACAAAACAAAAAACAAAGGAAAATTGTTCTTATAATTTTTAATGGGATAAAATTTTGAAAGAAAAATCATTTAAAAAAGAAAAAATATATATATATATGTATATATTTAAGGCACTGTACTACCACATGGCTTACCATGGTTCGTCCTGGACCTGGCAGCTTGCATTCTCACTTCCCTTCTCTCTCTCTCTGCCTGTCTCTATCTCTCTCTGGTCAAATTATAATAAATAAATAATTAAAGTATATAATTATTAAAAATAAATAAGTAAATAAATAGGAGAGAAGTAAATATCTCTATGTATAATTTTTCCATTCTCTCACCCAGAAACCAAACATTAGAGATGCTTCTTTTTTTTTTTTTTTTTTTTTTTTTGAGAGGTTTTTGCTATAGGGCGCGGCCACTCCCCAGAAAGACAGAGACAGAGAGACAGAAAGCAAGAAATCACCCCCCAGGCCAGGCAGAGTGCAGTGCTCCCATTAGTCAGACACACTCATCTGTGTAAATTCAGACTAATTTGGATTGCAATTCGAGAGAGACACCACAAGGCTGCCCAGTTTTGATGGCAGGGTGTCGGGGAGGGCCGGTGTTCACTCCACTGAGGTGTGGGAAGGCCCAGAGAGAGAGACTACCTTTGTGCCTGTTGTCTGTCTCTCCACTCACCTGGATCTTTAATTCCTGGCCATTGCATTAGATCTATGTTCATTTGGCTAAGGACATTAAAGAATGGCTGCAACATTTTCAAGTATACCATAGATCATGAGTGTTTTATTCCTAGATTTCTGATCAAGTTAGTTTTTCACAAGAGAATAAATTCACAATTCAATATAAATAGCTTACAGAACCTGGTATATGCATGCTTTGCGTTAGACCTGAGGTAGAAGACAAAGATGAGTAAGACATGAGACTACTTACGGAAGCTTATAGCAAATTTAAAAAGTACCAGTGACTACAGTAAAAGAGAGAATATCTGTACTAATTGTTAAGGGTAAGAATTGTGGCTTAACCACATTTGCATTTCTAATGCATTCCTCACCCAAATTAGGCAAGTATAAATGTTGAATCCTTAAAGAGGAAGTGCTGGGACCAGCAGATGGGGTCATGGTTATGTCACTCGACTCCCACATAGTTGAACACTGTTCAAGACCTGGACCTGGTGGCTTAAAACTTAGCTGGGCGCACATGCGTGTGTGCGTGCCCAAAATCCCAAGAGGAGAATCTCCCGAAGGGATCGTGGTATGGTCATCCCTCGTTAAACCAAACTATTCCAACCTAAAGTGGCTGTTGTACTCCCACACTTGTATTCCTATGGATAAATTGAAATTGTGCATGGTAGGCTGTTTTTCTCTAGCTGGTTACTAAGTTACAGCCAATCACACTAGCCGCACTTCAGTCAATCACAGAAAGCCCACCTTTTAGGCTGTTTATGCAGCCTACACTCCAGCTGTAACCAATAATTTCTCTACCTCACTCCCTCATTTATGTTTTTTGTATGACACTTTCTCTTTCTGAACACGTCACTTTCCTGTTCTACCGACTTAAGTACCAAGTTGACCACAAGGCTGGCCAGATTGGTCTGGAAGTCTGGGGATAACTGTCCAATTTAAATTGTGTTAAGATTTGCTCTATTAAAACTCTATTCTACTAAATTGGCTAGGTTATTATTATAACACCCCCAGGGGGGGATTTCTTGTTTTCTATCTCTCTATCTCACTGTCTCTCCAGTGAGCACATAAGCCCTATAGCAAAAATCTCTCTCAAAAAAAAAAAGAGGAAATGCTAGGACAGATACCATACAATTGTACTGTCCGAAACAGTAGCCACTGGCCACCAGTGACTCTTTACATTTAATTACAATCGCATAAAGTTATGCTTTCACTTTGTTAGTCACTAGGCACATGTAAGTGTTTAATTGCCACATGTAGCTAGTGTCGTCCGTGTTGAACAGTGCAGATAATAAAACATCAAAGAGAGTTCTGTGGCACAGAATTGCTATAGAAGATCAAAAGGAGGAAGATACCAAAGTTCCTCAATGAGGATGAAAGGAAAGGCAGAAAATGGTATTTGATCTGTGCCTTGAAGACTGGCTCAAGAACAGTGTCCAGCATTTTAATTTCTTTTTTTGGAGAGGTTTTTGCTATAGGGTGCGTGTGCTCACCAGAAAGATTGAGAGAGACAGAGAGATAGAAAGAGAAAAATCACCCCCCAGGGAGGATGGCCACACCACAATCCCTTCTCCTCCATTCTCCTCTCGGCATCTTGGGCACGCACGCACACATACCCAGCTTGAGTTTAAGCCACTGGGTCCAGGACTTGAACTGCGGTCAACTACGTGGGAGTTCAGCAACATAAACATTAAACTATGGTCCCAGTGCCCAGCATTTTAACAGGAAAAAGTAGAAGTATTCTAAAGAAAGCAAACAGCAGGGGAAAGAATGGGGACTAGAAAGGGCAACGTTCAAGTCATCCAACATGGCTCAAGACTTTAGAGGACAGAGTTGAAAGAGAAAACAGGGGGACCAGCAGGTAGTGTGGTGTTTAAGGTGCCGGACTCCCCCACAGCTGGTTCAAGTCCTGGAGCCTGCGCTTTGGAAATCATGCTGGCACATGTGCATACATGCCAAAATTCCAACAGAAGTATGGAGGAGAAGGGACTGAGGTGTGTCTATCCCACCTGAAGTGTGATTTTTCACGTTCTTTTTCTCTATCTCTCTCCAGCAAGTGCACACACACACTATGACAAAATCCTAAAAATAAATAAATAAACCGATATAGATAAAGTGGAGGGTCGGGGATGTTAGACCTAACTTCTTTATCTCTTTCTCTGCATCCTTCTTTTGCTCCATAGTCTGCATTGGGCCAGTTTAAAGATCGGAGACGCTTAAATAACTTCCAGACAAACACTCTGGTGTTCAGAGTCGACACCCTTCTGACCCTTAGGTGGGACTTCAGTTCTCCTACCTAGACATCGGTTTTAAATCCAATCCCTGGTTGTGTTCAGTTTGTCAAAGTGGATTTCTTCTCTGGGCACTTTTAAGACCTTCCCCAGTTCTCTCCCAACTTCTGGCTTTATTCATGAACAACCTTCCAGTCTTTGCTCCCTGCCCCAGACCTCATATCCCATGAAGACCTTTTTCCCACAGGCTAAACAAGCAGATCTTCTTGGTATCAAATCTTTGTACAGGTGTCTGCATGTAACAGACCCACATGCTGAAAGACCGTGATACTTGGTTTGTCCACTCCTGTTAGAGTTCACTCTCCCCCAAAGCACTGTGCCTTCTCCATGAGCATCTGCAGCTGGATCAGTTCTTCCAGCATCTGCCCTATACAAATGAGGGCCCCTTCCTCATAAACCACCACTACCACCAAAATAAGGGCCAGGTCTGTCTGAATCCATGACAGAAGTCATTAGCATAGGGCCTTCAATGCCAAAGCCAAAGTATTTGTCTTTAATTTACTAAGGAGAGCCACAGAAGGTTTTTGAACAAGCAAGCTCACACGAGCAGGGTTACAGATTAAATTGATGCCATCTGTGGGATGAGCTGCAGAGGTTTACTACAGTGGAGGATAATTCCAACTTGCGTAGTGTTTCCATATGAATTCCATTTCCATCTTTTTTTAAAAGAATTTTTTTGTTATTATTATTATTATTATATTTTAAATTTGCTATAGGGCAAGTGTACTCCCCAGAGAGAGACAGAGACAGAGAGAGAGGGGAAAAGTCAGAAAGCAAGCTACCAGGTCTAGGACTTGGACCATTGTTGGCCATGTGGGAATCTAATGCCTTAACCACTTCGCCACCTGCTGCCCCCTCCATTTTCATCTTTATAATCAACTTGTTTGGTCATCTTGATTCCTGTCCCTGCATTTTTCACAATTTTCTGAGGTTCTAGAGTCAAAAGAACCTTGGATGGAGTATTTATCTAGTAACACCCATTTGTTTTATTCTAATTGCCAAAGAGCACATGCTCTAGCCAGAGAGAGAGAGAGAGAGAGAGAGAGAAAGCAACCCCATAAACCTTTTTCCTTCATTTCCCTTCCCATCAAGATCTTGAGCATACATATATATGTGGCCGGTATGTTTTTCAAGCCACTGGGGCCAGGATTCAAATTTAAACTTCAGTCAGCCATGTGGAAATCCAATTTCTTTCTTTCTTTCTTTCTTTTTTTTCAAATTATTTTATTTAACTTTATTTATTTATTTATTTCAATTTGGCCAGAGAGAGAAAGATGTAAGAAAGCAAGCTTCCGGGTCCAGGACTCGAACTGAGGTCAACCATGAGGGAGTCCAGCGCTCTTAACCACCACGCTACCTGCAGGCCCCAGGATCCAGCTTTCTATATGCAGAACTTAACTGCTGTGCTATGGGATAGCTTAGTACCAACTCTTTTAGACTCAGCAGCACTACATCATCCTTACCTATGTCTCAGTGATGTGGGACATTTGACATATTATTCTCTATAGCTAATATGCCCTCTAATTAGGATGATCAGCCACCCTGATTTGTTTGAAATCAGCCTAGCTCACATTGAACATTTGAAAGCCCCATGTCCCGGGAACCTCCTCAGTCCCAGGCAAACTGTCATAGAACGTTCTGGTTCTAGTTTGGTCAAACCAGAATGGATGGTCACCATACATATGGAGCATCTACAAATGGCCTTGACTATCTTTTTATAAGAGGTTTTTGCTTTAGGATGCGTGTGTGTGCTCATCAAAGAAAGACAAAGAGACAGAGTTAGAGAGGGAAAGTGAGAAATACCCTCCCAGGGGGATGGTCATGCCACAATCCCTTGTCCTCTATTCTCCTCCCAGGATCTTGCGCACGCATGCACACATGCCCAGAGTGATTTTCAAGCCACCAGGTCTGGGACTTGAACTGTAATTGGCCATGTGGAAGTCCAGCAACATAACCTCTACACTATCTGCTGGCCCCAGCCTTGACTGTTTTGTATGGTTGGAAGCTGTACACTTCCCAGCTGCTCAGTCAACTGGAGCAGCTTTGTGTGCAACCACAGGTCATAACCAAAATAGAACGCAGCCACAGCCACCAGCATGAGCTTGGCTCACCCCCCCCCCTTACCTGCACCTTATTAGCACACACCAATACTCACCTGGGCTTCCTAACACCTTTACCTGAATTGTACCTTACTGAGTGAGAACTAGGCTGCTTTGACTTTCCAGGGGGTGACGTTTTAGAAATACTAGTGCTACACTCAAAAGTAATTTTTTATTACTTTTTTTTTAGGGTTTTGTCATTGAGTGTGTATATCCACCCGAGAGGGACAGAGAGCGGGGAAAAAGGAGAAATTTCCCCCCAGGGGTGATGTCCGCACTGCAACCCCTACTTCTCCAATCTCCTATCAGGATTTTGAGCACACACCACATGTGCCCAGCATGATTTTCAAGCTGCTAAGTCAGAGCCTCAAACTGTGGTCAGTCATTGGGAGCTCAGCACCTTAACCACCATGCCACTTGCTGGCCATGCAAAAGCAACTTTTTAATTAATTTACTTATTTTAATTTGACCACAGAGGGACAGAGTCAGGGGGAGAGAGAGAGAGATGAGAGAGAGAGAAAGTAAGAAAGCAAGCCACCAGGCCCAGGACTCAAACTGCGGTCGGCCATGTGGGAGTCCAGCACCCTTAACCTCCATGCCACCTGCCAGCCCCCAAAAGCAATTTTTAAGGGGCTACCCCACAGTACAGCAGTTAATCACTGTGCACGGGGAGCCAAATCCCACATGGCTGACCACAGTTTGGGTCCTGGCCCCAGCAGTTTAAAAAACACACGAGATCGGGAACCAGCAGTTAGCGTAATGGCTATGTCACTGGACTCCCACGTAGTCGACCGCGGTTTGTGTCCCGGACCCGGTGGCTTAAAACTCACGCCGGGCGCATGTGTGTGCGTGTCCAAGATCCCGAGAGGAGAGTGGAGGAGAAGGGATTGCGGCGTGACCATCCCCCCTGGGGGGTGATTTCTCGCTTTCTGTCTCTATGTCTCTCTCTGTCTGTCTGGCGAGCGCACGCGCCCTACAGTGAAAATCTCTCCAAAAAAAACCACGAGATGTATGTGTGGGCACACATGTATTTGTATGTGCCCATGATCTTGATGGGATGGAGAAATGGAAGAAAAAGGTTTGTGGCATGACCACATCCTGTGAGGGACTGCTTTCTCTCTCTTTCTTTCTGGTGAGCACACTCTCTGGTAATTAAAAAATATATAATATTTTTAAATTATATTTTTATTATAGAGGAACATGCGCAATAGAACTTCTTAAAATCCACTTTCCCATCTTATTCTCTGTACTAATACACCTCTCATGCCAAAAACTTTCCTTCTGAAATCTTCCTTTGACTCCACCAATCTAACTCAAGTAAGCTATTTTTTGTTTCTGCTCCCCTTCCTTCCCATGTCCCCCAACAAGCAGCATCTTTCATTACATCTCAAATATTCACGTTAAGAAGTGACTCCATTAAGGTAAATTAACATTTTGAAGTATAGCATCAAATTACAAGCCATTATTTATCTTTTAATTTCTGCTTGTATTTGATAAACAGGTAAAACAAGTTTTAAAGTTTAAAAATAAAGCAAAATACCTATTTTCCAGAAAAGCCTTTTCAGAATGAAGTTTTTCTGGGCTGCTACTTTAAGTTCCGTAATTAAATAAAGTGTCTTTCTCAAAGTATTGTCTTTAAGAAAAAGTTCAGATTTAAGTTGACTGAAGTGCTTAATTTTCTCCTCAGATCTAGAAAAATACAAGAAAATTTCCCATGTTAAAAAATAATTAAAAAAACAGCAGCTTAAGAGTATCAATGATTGTTGACGGGTTTGTAAAACTTCCCTATTTATGGAATTTTAACAGAGTTTTGTACCTCTATCCTTATTACCCATCAGTAGAGAGCTTTGTTCCCCACAAATCGAACTACTATTCCCCAAATGTACTTTCTGCACATGTCTTTACTGAAGCTAATCCCACATCAGGAGTATTCTCATTGTCCCTGGCAGACTTCTGTCCCCCTTTCATACCATTTACCATAATTCATAGGTAATATTATGTGCTTAATATTTTTCTTTCAATCCACTCATTTTTTTTTATGGAAGTAGTTATAAAGAAAGCTTTATAACACTATTTTATCCAGAAAATCCATATCTCTTGGCATGAATAACTAGTGACTGTAAAATTAGCATGAAAACAACACAAATTCTAAGCAAACATGCCCTGTTCTGAGCCTGAGGCCTGCTCTCTCTCTATTTTTTTTTTGGGGGGAGAGAGGTTTTTTGCTATAGGGCGTGTGCACTCAACAGAGAGACAGAAAGCGAGAAATCATCCCCCAGCAGGGATGGCCACACCACAACCCCTTCTCCTCCATTCTCCTCTCGGGATCTTGGGCACGCACACACACACATGCCCAACATGAGTTTAAGTCACCGGGTCCGGGACTCGAACCACAGTCGACTACATGGGAGTCCAGCGACATAGCCATTATGCCAACTGCTGGTCCCAGCCTACTCTTTGACAAAAAGGTAGAGGAGCCTGTGTAAGAAAGCTGACTATAGGTGCCCACTGAGCGGTTCTCCCTGATGAGATCAGACTCGCTGGAGAAAGGACTCACTTTTCCACTTTGAATTCTTGTCCATCATGGAATTCATTTCATGCTATGGTCAGAGAACCTCCAGAAATGATCTCTCATCCCTGAACCATGTATCTTCAGGAAAAATTGGATAATCTGAAAAGACTAGTACTTCTCTCTAGATCTTTCCCTTAACGATTGCAGCCCCATCCCGCTGCAGTGTTTTCACACTTCAGGTACCATGCTAATCCTGTTTCACTCCATTGCAGACATTCATGTCTGCATTCTGGCCCCTTGGCTGATTCTTAGAACTTGAGTAAAATTTTAGATACAATTTCCATTTCCCATCATGCTCAGTCATAACAACTTGTGCTCAACTGGCAACCGACTGTGTCAGGCTGTGGCGTGGGGACTGTTCACTGAGCTGGATCCCTCTGAGAGGACTGAGCTGCAAATTACTCACTCGTATGGGAAATCAGAGAAGTTGAATAAACTGTTCAAGCACACACAACTAATGATTCAGAAAGCAAAGTAACAGCAGGAAGGCTATTTCATGTTCTGCGGAGGTTGATGGATTCTTAAAATTTCTGACTTGATGTAAAAACATCTTTACCACCTACTCCAGAAACCCTTTATCCTAATACTACGACGTGGGATGCTGGTTCTTGCCCACTCTGCCCTTCTTTTTTAAAAAAAAAAAAAAAAAAAAAAAAACATAGGATCTTCTTCTGTCCAGTGAATGAGCCTTTTTTATTATCCTCAAAATTAAGACTTTCTGGGAAAAAATGATCATTCCAAGTTCACCAATGGCAAGCAGAAGAGAATTATGATTATGAGGATGAGGGCAGAGGTCAGAATCATAGCTAGGTAAATACACCATGGACAAGTTACAGAGCCTTAACGTGCCTCAGTTTTCTCATTTGTAGAATGGGGATTATGATAATACCTCTCCAATCATGCCATTTGGATACTTAATGAATGTACTTAGCACACAATAAGTGTCTCTAAACACAACAGGAGTAAGTTTTCACAAATGAGCTTAGAAAAGTGATAGTGGGCCAGTAGGTGACATGGAGGTTAAGGCAGCTGGATCCCACATGGATGACAGCTTGATTCCAGTCCGGACCTGGCAGCTTGGAAAATCACACTGGGCACGCGTGCATGTGTACCAAGAAATCCCAAGAGGAGAGCAGAGAAGGGATTGCAGCATGGTTATCTTCCTTTGGCGGTAATTTCTCTCTCTCTCTCTCTCTCTCTCTCTCTCTCTCTCTCTTTCTCTCTCTCCCTCCAGCAAGTGCATGCACCCTATAGCAAAACTTAAAAAGAAAAGAAAAAAATAGCTACAGTCAGCTGCACATAAAACACAGTTAGGAGAGGCAGCGAGGAGAGGAACAGCCCCCATGCAATGTATCATATCATTACTCCTTACCTATATGGCTTTTGACTTCCAGTAGCAGTACTGAGTACACTAGCATACAGGGGATCTTGTAAAAGAGTAGCTTTCTGAAGAGGAAAAAAGTGAATGTTAGAATTTTTATTTACTGAAAATCAGTTCTCTCTACCCTTAGTCAATATCATATATCTACTCTTTAATTCCTTCTACAGAACATGATTTGTTATATAACTCATTCTACTGTTAGATAACACCACAGGGAATTTCTCCTTATCTAGATTTTTTAAACTTTTGAATGTAAGACTTGCTCATTATAAAACAAAAATTTGAATAGTAATTACCAAAATAAAACAGTACAAAAAATGCACACAAAGTAAAAGATAGAAAGTTATCTGTTCCTCCCAACCACTTTTTTTTTTTAAGAGAAGTTTTTGCTATAGGCCAGAGAGACAGAGACAAAAGGCATGATTTCTCATGCCAGGTGCATGTGCCTGCATCCCCAGAATCCCAGGAGGAGAGTAGAGGAGAAGAGATTGCAGCCTGGCTATCCCCCTTGAGGGGCGATTTCTTCCTTTCTATCTCTGTCTCTCCAGCAAACACATGCACCTTATAGCAAAATTCTCTCTCAAAAAAAAAAAGACATTAATTATAACATTACATATACATTTATAGCATTTATGTATTATATATTTTATAATACTTATTTATACTAGCTAAATTATTTCACATGTATTAATCTGGAGCTTTATTTTTTTCACTTAATGTAGGATGGACAGATGTCTGTGTACATAGATTTACTTCAATATTTTTAATAAGTTTTATTCCATAACATAGATATACAGTGCTTTTGTTAACTATTCATCTATTAATGAGATTTTTTAAATATTTTTTTGCTATAGGGTACATGTGCTCACCAGAGACAAAGAAACAGGGAGAGAGAAGAAAAGTGACGGAGCACTCCTCAGGGTTGATGCAGTGCCATAATCCCTTCTCCTCCATTCTCCTCTCAGGATTTTGGGCACACACACACACGCATGCATGCGTGCGCACACACATGGACACACATACACACGCCTGGGGTATTTTTCAAGTTGCTGGTTCTGGGACTTGAACCGTGCAGACAGCTGTGTGGAATTCAGCAACCTTAATCTCCATGACATCTGCTGGTCCTATTTTTTCCTTAAATATTTAGTGTTGTCGTTTCTCATTTCTTCTGGGGCTTCAAAACAGAAATGTAATGTTCAGCAACTTCTCTAAATAATCTTTTATTTATGGCGAGGCTTAACAAATGGGTCAGAAAGGATTTCTGAAATGTTGCTAATTTGCAACCGCGAACAAAGTTAACCCTGTCTCCTTCTTCTTCTCCTCCTCCTCCTCTTCCTCTTTTTTTTTTTTTTTCCTTTGCCATAGGGTACATGGGTGGAGAGAGACAGAAAGGGAAAGTGAGAAATCACCCTGGGGGGTGGGTAGGATGGCCACATTGCAGTACCTTCTCCTCTGGTCTCCTCTTGGGATTTTGGGCATGCATGCACACATATCTGGCATGTTTTTCAAGCCTCTGGGTCCAGGACTTGAACCACACAATTGGACATGAGAGATCCAGTTGCCTTAACCACCACACCACCTGATTGACCAAACCCTATCTTATTCTTCATTTCAGAATAGGGTTGGTGGATGGTGGTGAGGAGGATGTGCATTTTTAAACTTCATCACTGGTTTTGGTTTTTTGGGTTTTTTTTAGAATTATTATTATTATTATTTGGAGAGGTTTTTGCTATAGGGCACATGCACTCACCAGACAGATAGAGAGAGACAGAGCGATAGAAAGTGAGAAATCACCCCCCAGGGAGGATGGCCACACCACAATCCCTTCTCCTCTCAGGATCTTGGGCACGCACGCACACATGCCCTGCGTGAGTTTAAGCCACCGGGTCCAGGACTTGAACCGTGGTTGGCTATGTGGGAGTTCAGCAACATAGCCATTACGCTAACTGCTGGTCCCTAGAATTATTTTATTTAACTTTATTTACTATTATTATTTTCCAGTTCTATCTCTCAGAGAGAGACAGAGAGGGAAAGCAAGAAAGCAAGCCGCCAGGTCTAGGACTTGAACTGCGGTCGACCATGTGGGAGTCCAGCACCTTTAACCACCACGCCACCTGCTGGCCCCAACTTCATCACTGGTTCACACTTTTTAAAGTTTATTTTATTCATGATAGCAGGTGTATGTGTACTGCAAAGATAGAGACCAAGAGAAGCACACTTAGCAGAGTCTTGTCATAGTGTGGGCTTCCTTCCCCAGAACTCCAGTTCTTTGGGATCTTGGGCATGTGTGTTTTACCCAGAGGGTTTTCAGGCAGACCCAGTGTACAAAACCTGTGACTGGCCATGTGGCTTCCAGCACTGCAGTTCAGTTTGCTACTGACAGTGCCATCAGGCTGAGCCTATTCTATGTTTAAAAGCAAAAACAAAAACAGAAAAAGGAAGATGGCAGATCTGGAGGAACAGTTGTCTGATGAAGAGAAGGTGCATGGAGCAGCAAAATTCATCATCCACGCCCCTGCTGGTGTTTAATGATGTTCGGTTACTGCTTAATAATGATAATCTTCTCGGGGAAGGAGCAGTCCCTGCTTTTGCACAGTATAACTTGGACCAGTTCACGCCAGTAGAAATTGAAGGTTATGAAGATCATGTATTGGTAACAGAACATGACGACTTGGGAAATGGCAAGTTTTTGTCTATGGTTTTGGTCGATCTGGCTATAATGTGTCTTAGAGAAGATCTTCTTGGGTTGATTCTATTTGGGGTCCTTTGTATTTCTTGGAACTGGATTTTTGAGTGCCTCTCTAGGTTTGGAAAATTTTCTTGAAGGATTTCATGGAATACATCATCAATGCCCTTATGAGTCTCTTTGCCTTCTGGGATACAAGTATCTGGATGTTTGGATATTTGATGATATCTAGTATTTCTCATAAATTAGTCTCATTTTTTTTTCTTTTTGGCCATTTTCTCAGTCTTCATGGTGGATTTTTCTAGGCCAGCAATTCTATCTTCCACATCTGAGATTTGATTTTATGTATGATCTAGTCTGCTTTAATAGATTTTTACTTTCTGAATTGTAGCCTTCATCTCTAACAGCTCCATTTGATTCGTTTTTAGAGTGTGTATTTCCTCTTTTAGATCTTGCAAGAATTTCCTCACCTCCTAGAACTCATCATTTCCTTTCTCCTGCCTCTTCTGCAGTTCATTGTCTCTCCTCTCTTCCATCTCTATTAGCTTTGTCAGTATAAATATTCTAAAATCCTCATCAGACGTTTCCATGAATTTCATTGTACTGTCTGAGGATGAAGAGCTGTGATTCTTTTCCCTTGGAAGAGAGGTATTGTCTTGCTTTCCCATATTTCTTGTGATCCTGCAGTGATTTCTAGTCATCTGATGAAAGATGCATTTCTTCCTAATTCTTGAAATTCAATCTGAGCGTTCAGAGACGAGCAAAAGGAGGTGATCTTCGATCTTTCTTCTGTTCCATTTTCACTCTTTGTACATCAGATTCAAGGTGAAGAGAGGAATATTCTGACCCTAATCACATTCAGATGATTGGAAACTGTTCATTTGGACCTGTCTAGACACTTAGTGCATAGAGGCTGATCAGAAAATGAATAGAGACAAAGAAAAAAGTAAAAGAATTAAGAAGAGGAAAAAAAAGAAAAAAAATGAAAATGAAGAAAGAAAAAAAAAAGAGGATTTAAAAACCATAAGATTATAATTTTAAAAAGCAAAAATAAAAACTGCGTGGCATGCATGCCGTGTGAAACCAATATTTCACAGCTGAAGTACGGTATCCATCTCAGGATAGGCCTGGCTTGATTTGTGCCTTTCCTAAATGAAATGAGGAAAGGCACCAATTAGCACAATAAAGGAGAGGCTTGAGAGCCCAGAGAACACTTTCCTTAAAAAAAAAATTTTTTTTTAAATTGAAAGTCACAGGGAGACACAGCGAGACAGCAAGAGATAGACAGAAATGGAGAGAAAGAGACACAGAACTATCCCTACCCACTAGAAATGAGTCTGGAGGGGGAAGTCTCAGCAGAAAATCTTCATTTTGGGTCAAGGAAACCAATATTTCACAGCTGAAGTACAGTATCCATTTTGGGATCTGTTTCCTTTATTTTAATGGTTAAAAGTTTTTTTTGTTTGTTTGTTTGTTTTTTGGAGAGATTTTCGCTATAGGGCGCGTGCGCTCGCCAGACAGACAGAGAGAGACATAGAGACAGAAAGTGAGAAATCCCCCCCAGGGGGGATGGTCACGCTGCAATCCCTTCTCCTCCATTCTCCTCTCAGGATCTTGGGCACGCACAACATGCTCCGGGCGTGAGTTTTAAGCCACCAGGTCTGGGACGCGAACTGCGGTCGACTACGTGGGAGTCCAGTGACATAGCCATTACGCTAACTGCTGGTTCCCATGGTTAAAAGTTTTTGAAGGCTTTCAAAAAATATTTTACCTCCTATAACCCTAAAATTGTCTTTTCTTTTCTGAAATGAGTAACTTTGTATATTTGCCAAATTATTTTTATTTATTTATTTAGAAGAGGTTTTTGCCATAGGGCATGTGTGCTCTCCAGAAAGACAAAGAGAGACAGAGAGACAGAAAGCAAGGAATCACCCCCCAAGGGGGGATGGCCATACTACAATCCCTTCTCCTCCATTCTCCTTTTGGGATCTTGGGCATGCATGCACGCACATGCCCCCAGTGCAAGATTAAGCCACCAAGTCCAGGACTCAAACCACAGTCAACTACATGGGAATCCAGCAACATAGCCATTATGCCAAATGCTGGTCCCAGCCCAATTATTTTTAATGGAGTCAATAATAGACATTATGATTCAAGGTGGTTGATGGATTTAGCCACATATGCTGCTAAAGAAATTTTCCCCCACCTCTTCCACTTACGTGAGACTAAGATCAGAGGGAAAGTATTTTCTTTATCAATTGTGTTTAAACCTTTCGAAAAGGTTATTTAGCTAGCTTAGTGTTTAACTAAACTTTTTTTAAACAAGGCCAAGATCTAAAGTTGTTTTGAGATTCTGATATTAAATGAAAATACTTATTTTCGTAATGCATTTCATGCTTTCTTCTTGTGACAGTTATGCAAATTAGCTTGAATTCCATGTCCCTGAGTTATTTTTATCATAAAGCAACAAGTGTATTATAACAAGGCAAACTGTAATATATATAATCCTGAACTCAAAATAAATAAATAAATAAATAAAAATAAAAACAAAAACATTGCACTGTTTTTCCCTCCAAATGTTCATACTTGTTGTAAACCTGAAACTATTTGGAAACTCTTAAAATCAATATGGATGCTAATAATTTCTAATTAGATGGTTTATGTTCATATTACCTAAAAGTATAGAGTTAAAATTGTCAATTCTTTTTCCCAAGAACATTTTCCTTCTTCAACATGAAAGATCATTCTGGATCACAAGCATTAAAGATCAGTCACCCAAGATAAGTATGAATGATTTAGGACACAGTTTTTCAGTTTTATAAAACTTACAGTGACATCACTAAGACTAACCAAAGTTGACCAACCTGATAAAAGGATTCAGTAGTGTCACAAAAAAGTCACAACTTTTAAAACATTTATATTGAATCAATATGTTATTGTAAAATGAACACTCACCTGACTCTTCATTTATAAGTGAAACATTTGCTTACTCATTTTTCATCTTTCAAGGGAAAGAACAGTATTTGTAATGATATATACCAATTCATGAAGATAGTGCCTCTCCACTCACTTTAATTTCAAAGATCATAAAAAAAAAATTAGGCCATCTGGGTTCAAATCCCAACTCTACACTAGCCATGGGAACACATATATATATATATTGCTTAATTTCTTTGTACCTCAATTTCATCATCTATAAAATGGAAATAAAAGTCTGGTCTCAGGGATGGCAGGCATTATGGTGGTTAGGGGCACTGGATTCCCACGTGGCTGACCACAGTTGGAGTCCCAGACCTGGTGGCTTGCTTTCTCACTTTCCCCCTCTCTCTCTTTCTTACTCTGTCCCTCTCTGGTCAAATTTAAATAAATAAATAAATAAATAAATAAATAAATAAATAAATAAATAAATAAACTCAAATACAATTTTAAAAAAGAAAGAAATGGAATTACTAGATTGTGTGTTTAAAAAAAATAAAAGTCCTATCTCATAAAATGGTTGTGTAGACTGAATAAACTAATATGCATAAAGCATCAGAGTGCAGTCTACTAAATAACAACACATGTAAATTATTGTTACTGCATTTATTGTTGTAAGGATCATAGCTTTACAGGTATGAGCCGGCCAATCTGACCTGCCCCAACCACACTTCTGCTGCAGAATTAGGAAGTAATAATGGGACCAGCAGGTGGCGTGGTGGTTAAGGTGCTGGACTTCCACATGATCAACTCAGATTTGAGTCCCAGGCCTGGTGGCTTGAAGTTCACACCAGGCATGTGTGCATACATGCCCAAAAATCCCAGAGAAGGGATTGTGGCATGGCCATACCCTGGGGGGAGTGATTTCTCACATCCCTTCACTGTCTCTCTGTCTCTGGCAAGCACACGCACCCAATGGGAAAAACCCAAAAGGCAACAACAAAAAATAGTAATCAAACTGGAAGCTAGTTAATTCAGAGAAGCATAAGGAGTTATTTTGAAATATATCCATAGTTTTAAAAGTCAATTAAATTTTGAGGTTCTTTTAAAATGTATGAAATCTTCTTTTAATAGACCAGGGTTTTCTTCTATTTATGAGATTGTATGAAATCTTGATTTAATAGACCAGGGTTTTCTTCTATTTATGATGTGTTTACATATTTAATTTGGAGAAATCTGTTTAAAAATTTAGGGAGGAATTTTAAATTTTTAAAGTCTTCTGAGCTGCACTTTGAGGAGAAAAATCAGTCATCCTTTAATCTTTCATAAGTTTAGTCTTTTGTAAACACCCTGATTCCTTAGCTTCTTCTGAGTGCAATAGCCTTTCATATTTTATTCATATTATTGTGTTGAATGATCAATAATAAAAGTTATATGTAGCTGAAGGTAACTCAAAGCATCATACTGAGCTAGCCCTGTAGCTTAGTGATTAAAGGAGCTGGGTCGCACATGACCAACTGTGGTCCAAATTCCTTGGCATGTGTATGCATGCACACCAGAAGTCTTCACAGCACAGAGAGACGGAGGAGAGGGAATCGCAGCATGACCATGCCCTATTGGGGTGTGCCTTCTCTCTCCCTCTCTGTTTCTCTCTGACAAATCCACACACCCTCTGGCAATTTTTTAAAATGATACCATATTTTTAACAAGTTACATACTTTAAAACTGATTCTGGGGATCAGCAGATGGTGTAGCAGCTACGTCACTGGACTCCCACATGGTCAACCATAGTTTGATTCCCAGACCCAGAGGCTTGAAACTCACATTAGGTGTGTGTGTGCACATGGCCAAAATCCCAAGAGGAGAAGGGATGGTGGCGTGGCATGCCCCCTGGAGGGGTGATTTCTGTCTCTCTCTGTCTCTCCGGGAAACACATGTACTCTATAGAAAGAATCTCTCTTAAAAAAAATAATTCTTTTCTTTCTTCTTTTTTTGAGAGGTTTTTCACTATAGGGTGCGTGCGCTCGCCAGACAGAGAGACAAAGAGAGAGAAAGCGAGAAATCCCCTCCCAGGGGGGATGGCCACGCCGCACTCCCTTCTCCTCCATTCTCCTCTCGGGATCTTGGGCATGCACGCACATGCGCCCAGTGTGTGTTTAAGCCACCGGGTCCGGGACTCGAACCACAGTCGACTACGTGGGAGTCCAGCGACATAGCCATTACGCTAACTGCTGGTCCCCCCCAAAATAATTCTAATATAACGAAAAAAAAAATCACTTGGGGCCAGCAGGTGCAGGTGGTGTAGTGGTTAAAGTGCTGAACTATCACATGACAGACCACAGTTTGAATCCCAGACCCAGTGACTTGAAAATCACACTGGGCAAAAGTGCTTGCATGCCCAAAATCCCAGGAGGAGAGGGGAGAAGAAAGGATTGCAGTGTGACCATCACCCCAGGGAGTAATCTCTCACTTTCTCTCTCACTGTCTCTCTCACTGTCTCTATCTCTCTCTGGTGAGCACACATGCTCTATGGCAAAAACATTACCAAAAAAAAAAAATCCCTAAATGGCAATTCTGACACTGTCCTTATAGTTACTATATAATCTTGAGTCAATGACTTAAAACTTTATGCTTCTTTCCGTCATTTGTAAAATAAGGTACACAGTCTAGTATCTCTAGATAAAATTATCTGATCCTATAACAATTATTTCCACTCATTAATTTTTATTTTGAGACAGTGTCTGAGTATGTTGCAGTCCTCCTGCCTCAGCCTCACTAGTAGCTGGGACTACAGGCATGTGTGAATGTGCCTTGATTTTTTAGGGTATGGGAAACCAAACCTGAGCCTCTCATGTGGCTCAGCCTGCTAAGTAGCAGTGTCAGCCAGCCCACATTACTAAGGCTGGGCCCTGTTAACCTACGTTCAATAGTGCAGCGAAGAAATACAGAAATATACTGACAGTATTGACCTATGTGTGAGATCTATGCTATCCCAGATAACTGCAGAAGGCCATCTGCTCACAAATATTCCGGATAAGAGCAGTCTTTATTCCTCCTCATGAGTCCATGAGACTCACCTTCTTCCTCTCCCTCCCAGTTTTTCAGTTTTGCTAAGGGGTGCATGCCCTCGCCAGAGAGAGAGGGGGACAGTAAGAAATCACCCCCTGCGGGGGGGATGGCTATGCTGCAGTCCATTCTTCATTCTCCGTTCAAGATTTTGGGCACACACACACATACTCTCAGTATGATTTTCAAGCCGCTTTGTCAGGTACTTGAACCATGCAGTCAGTCAACCATGTAGGGTCCTGCCTCTCTAATCATCTCGCCCCTGGATGGCCCAAGATTCATCCTCTTTACCTACACTTAAAGACCCGGCATCTTCTCCTTCTCTGTAAGACACACTTCGTTAATAAGCATTTTCCCTACTGCAGTAACCCAAATCATCTCCTCTATTGTCCAGTACATTTTATCTTTTATAATATTATTAAATTACAAAGCTAAATTTTCAAAATGGTAGTGGGGGCAGAAGAGCAGGGACGGAATGTTCATTCAAAAAAGGAAGAAGAAGAAAAGAAAGAAAGGCACAGATCAAGCTTACTTTTAAGGGCACTTACTATAATATAATTGTTCCACGAACTTTTTAAGTGCAGAAATATGGATGAGGTTGTAGAAATAACATACAAATGAAGTTCCGACTCCTTTTTCTCTAGGTGGGAGTTGCTCTGTAAAGGGGAAGGTATGAGGGAATTTCTTAAGGAAAAGGCATTTCCATTCCCATTGCAGTCCAAAGGGATCTCATTTAGAGAATCTTTGTGGTCTGGAAGTCCTGGGGGTTCTTTGGTGTGTCTTGTGCTGGATGGCTTGCTGACAGCTTTGCCAATGGCTGGTGTGGCCTGCCGGCTCCTCCTGAGGGGGGTAGGTAAGGGTCGAAAGGCATTTGGGCTCTGTAGGGACGGCTTCTTGAGATCTGAAGGGGTGCGGAGGGTTGAATCCTTGGCCAACGTGCTGCTCTCCTGGTAGTATCTGTCAGGTAGAACTTACTATTAAACATCATCATGCAAATTTAATAATAAGGAACAAAGAGAACTCAATGGCCCAATTATAGCAGTTTAAGACACTGAAAGCAAATGTTTTCACATAAAAGAAGTGCTTGTTAAGTGAGCGGAGTGATTTAATTTCACTTGATATTACCCATCAACTAGGGGAGGTATGACACAGCAATCCATTATCATACTTTTCTGATTTCAGAAAGGATTGCAGCTGGCCATCTCCTCTAGAGGGTGCTCTCTCACTTTCTCTCTCTCTCTCTCTGTCTCTTTCCAGGGAGTACATGTGCCCCATAGCCAAAAAAAAAAAAAAAAAAAAAAAAATCAGCGTTACGGACTAAATGTGTTCCCCTCTCCTCTTCTAAAATCCATATGATGAAATCCTAACCCTCAATATGACAGTATCAGGGGGTGCAGGCCTTTGGAAGGTGAATAGGTCATGAGAGTGAAGCCCTCATAAATGGGATTAGTGCCTTTATAAAGAGACCTTTGAGATCTCTCTAATCTACCCTGTCTCCATGTCGAGACACAATCAGAAGTTGCCAGTTTAACCCAGAAGGGGGCCCTCACCACACTCCAACCAGGCTGGCACCCTGATCTAAGACATCCAGTCTCTAGAACTGAGGAAAATTCATTTCTGGTGCCTATTGTACTTGTTACAGCAGCTCCAATTGACTAAGATGATGAAGGTATCTAGCTCAGAAATGGATAATGTATACTCCATACCTCTTTTCTCTTTTTTAAATAATTATTTATTGGAACCAATAGATGGTGTAATGATTTTGTTGCTGGACTCCCACACAGCAAACCATGGTTCCAGACATGGAAGCTTGAAATTCACACCAGGTGCATATGTGTGCATGCCTAAAATCCCAAGAGGAGAATAGAAGGAAAGGAATTGTGGTGTGGCCATCCCCACAGGGGTGATTTCTCACTTTCTGTCTGTCTCTCTGTCTACCCAGCAAGCGCACATGTCCTATAGCAAAAACCTCTCTAAAAAAATGAATAATTTATTTACTATTACTATTCATTATTATTCTCCAGTTTGACCAGAGACAGACAGAGAGAGAGAAAGAGAAAGCAAGCCATCATGTCCAGGACTTTAACCATGGTTGGTCACGTGGGAGTCCAGCACCTTATGCCACCTGCTGGCCCCTCTACACCTCTTTAAAGTGATACATTTTCTTTATTCTTGCAGAGAATAGTTTCTAAATTTTTTTCTATGGAAAATGAAGAAAATTAAATAACTAATTCATAGATAACATCATGTAAATTGAAGAAAAAATGGTTAGTTATAAAAAGTGATTACTGGATTTAAGAAATTTTAAAAGGATGAAAATAGTGAGTTTAGTTTCTTGGAGAACTAAACACCAAAATCAAATGGAATGGTCAGATTAATATGCTAAATTAGTAATATAAGAAACAAACAGAACAAAAGAGAGCAACAATTTTTCATAAGAAGTCCTGTAGCACCTAGATCTCAAGATCTAAAATTTAAACTCTTCTGAATAAAAAATTCTTATGGAGATTCTACTAAAGTATATCTGGTGAAATGCAAGCAACTCTACATGGAACATCAGTTAGAAAATTATTGTCAGATATCCGAGCATAACCGAGAGACTAGCATAAATCAGTACCAAACTTGCTGGGGGTGATTATTTAAAATAACCGAGGTGAATCCAATTGGTGCATTAGATAAATGTATAATACTAGTAATTCTTTTTTTAAAAACAGAACATTGCTAGCTAGAAATAAGTATTACTTGTTTAAAATTTAGGTAACAACCATTTCTAACTATTGTTGCATGATATGCATGTGGTAGTTAGGGAGTTACCACCAAACGACCTCTCTTTGGAAATACCAGAGGCACTGTAAACACTCATATTGTGTGCAGGACATTAAGCTGCAAAGTAGGGTTTAAAATAGCGATCAGAAACATGCTGTAAAGTAAGCAAACACCTTTTAACTCCTTGGAGAATACTTGGCATTAATGTAGGGACTGGATTCCACCTAAAACCTTGTTCTTCCAGTAAATAATTACTTATTTGCCATATTCCCCATTTTTGAATACAGCACACTGACTGCCCTGATATTATGGAGATGTAATACATCAGGAAAAAAAAAAAAGAAAATCACCATTTTCCTAAGATATTTATAATTATTTAAAATAATTAGGAAAAATAGAAGAAGAAAAAACTTAGGGTTATCAAAAAAGAAAAGGAGACATTTTCTATTTTCCAGGTTGTTGTCCCTATTGTTATTTATCGTGTTGATTTCTGTCCCCTTCAAGGTTATTTTCTTGTTTGTTTTATTTTAAATTTACTATAGGGCATGCGGACATGTCAGAGAGAGAGGGAAAAAAAAGTGAGAAGCATCCCTCATGCGGGGATAGTCACACCACAATCCCTTCTCCCTCATCCTCCTCTCTGGATTTCAGGCGACCACATCTGTTTCTCAAGCCACCAGGTTCAGGACTCAAACTGCTCATTTAGCCCTCTGAGGTCCTGCTGCCTTAACCACCACACCACCAGCTGGCCCCTACAATGACTTTCTTTCTTGTTCCACCAAGTTTGCTCTGCTAAAGCAGGATTTGCTTGTAGTGAAACCTTGGGAAAGAGAAGAGTAGCTAAAGTAGGAAAACATCTAACCTTTTTCCATGTGTTATGGGGCGAAGACAGCTGATAACTGCACTTAGTCTGATATGTTATGGTCAGCTCTAGTGGGTGTGTTCTAACGTACTCTGGGATAAAGCCAGCTCAGGTGGGACCAGTGCTACCTAACTTGTTAGGGAGATTAGGTGTGTTTACCAGTGTTACACAGCGGTATTCTGTGCTGCATAGCACCTATGGAGTGCAGGGCCAGAGTCGCCATGTATTTCCACTAGCTACTAGTTAATAAATGGTACCTTATGTAGTGCCTGCCAGACTGATTGAGATACTATGGGCATAGTGGTGAAAGAAGAACAGAGAATGTCTCTGCCCTCATAGATCTTATTCCATGAATGTTCAAGTTACACTGTCTCTGGAGCTAAATCCACATGTAGAGGAGACGACGTGCTTTGTGTCTATGTAAGAAAGACGAGATTCAAACACTGAAAGTACCATGTAAGAAAAAAATCTGTAAGTTTATTTATATTACTATTATTGCATCACATGAATTCATATGTCATATATCTTTTCCAAATTTAGAGTGTGTCTAGGATCATCTGCCTTAAAAGGTAAGAAACATTGTATACATAAAGTCCACATGATTTCTAAAATACTTCTGGTCCCAAGCATTTTGAATAAGGATAATTTACCTGTATATAGAACGTATGAAACAAATTTTCAAACAAGTCTATAAAAGGAGAAAGGAAGGAGGGAAAAGAAACAAGAAAATAAGAAAAAAAGGATGGAGGAAATTGAAGTGGAGAAAAAAGATATTAATTCTACTCCAGAACTCAACAATTTTGGGGGAGATCAGCAGCTGGTGTAATGGTTATATCGCTGGACTCCCACATAGTTGACCACAGTTTGAAACCAGACCCGGCAGCTTAAAACTCTTGCTGGGTGCATGTGCACGCGTGTCCAAAATTCCAAGAGGAGAATAGAAGAGAAGGGATCATGTCATGGCCATCCCCCTGGCGAGTGATTTCTCACTTTCCATCTCTCTGTCTCTTTGGCAAGTGCATGCACTCTATGACAAAAAAACCCTCTAAAAATTAATAAATAATTTTTGAATTATGCAAATACATAATTGATCAATATTTTTAAGGATTACAAATTGAGCAAATTATACACAAGAGATAGATCTATTTAATATTTTCAGAGTTAAGTTGAGAAATATCTTGAAATAGGGACCAGCAGTTAGCATAATGACTATGTCGCTGAACTCCCATGTAGCCGACCATAGTTCAAGTCCTGGACCTGGTGGCTTAAACTCACGCCGGTATATGTGCGTGCGTGCCCAAGATACTGAGAAGAGAATGGAGGAGAAGGGATTGCGGCATGGCCATCCCCCCTGGGGGGTGATTTCTCGCTTTCTATCTCTCTGTCTCTCTCTGTCTTTCTGGCAAGTGCATGTGCTCTATAGCAAAAAAGAAAATGAAAAAAAGAAAAAGAAATATCTTGAAACAGACTAATGAAAAAGAACAACTATGGAGGCCTTGACTCTTTCCTCTTGAGTTTCTAAACATCCTGGATTATATATTGTACATATATAGTAGGTTTACATAAACACAGGACTTGGTCCTCTAATAGAACTAGAACAACATTTTGCATAATAAAATCTTAGAAAATTGATATAGATAATTACCTCATGCCATATTATTGCACAACAGCATTTTTATTTTTAAATGCTATAGCCTTACTAGTGAGAGTAGCATTCTTCCTTAGGGTCTGATCAATGATTCTGAGGATGCAGAATAGATTATTGCTCAGTGGGTGACTATCAGTACTCAGCAATAACCAAAAAGGTAAGTTTTAATAAGACTCTCCACATGCATGACAGAGTTTAAGCACTTTACATGTACATATTTAGCCTTTACATGTCTCCCCTGTGGGACAGGTACTGTTAGGACCTCTGTCTTACTTGTGACAGCAGTGAAGCCTGGGAAGATTAAGTAGCTAGCTCAAGACAGGGTCCAGCTCTGAAGTCAACCCATGTAGCTCAAGCATCTGCATATATGTGTATATATATATATATATATATATATACACACACACACACTCTACAGGGATATAGATAGATAGATATAGATAGATGATAGATAGATAGATAGATAGATAGATAGATAGATAGATAGATAGATTCTGTTGGGTTGTCAGAAAAGTCATATGTGTTTTTCTATGCAAAAATGTGTCATGACTTTTCCAACAAACTTTCTGCCAAGAAGTGCTTCTTGTTAGAAACAAATGTAAACTTCACCTTCTTGCGGTTATTTTCCCTCATATTTTGCTAATGATGCACAATTCAGCAGAGCATGCTCTAATTTCATAA